TCATTTAGCTTCCACGAGCTTGTATCCGGCTTCTCAAAATTCTGCGCGGACCACATAGCACCCTTTGCTTTTCGATCATCTTGCGGAACTTGTCCTTTAAGATTTGAATGATTAACTTGCCTTACATCTATTTTTCTTTCGAAAGAGGTGCTTTGGCTAGTAGATGTGTTCATGTTCTTCCCTATTCTGGCAACTTTTTGTTTGTGCTATTCACTAACTTGGATGTTACACTAAGAAAAATAATGAAGCAGATAGAAAATAAGTGTCTATAAGAACAGGTTTGATCTCGCTCTCGTGGTTACGTTTTCCCTTTATATATATGTACATATGTTTTGTTTTCGTAAGTTAAAATACAATTTTCACTAGAGCCTTTTAACTCAATTATATATATATATTTACTATGTTTACAGAATTGCCTTAAGAAGGGAAGAAATGAGAAACGGCGAAAAAGGTATATAGACAATTGCTATCATGATTTGAAAGAAGCATTACAATCCAAAATAGAATTTTTTATTATCCATTATATGTGCATTTTGAGGTGGAAAAAGGTTAAGGTAGAGACTAATCTCCGGTTTTTTATATAGTTCGCCCCCCCTTCCCCTCATATACGCATATGTTTTAGGGTGAAAGTGGGTATTTTAGAAGGGCCCTCTGCCCATACCTTTTTATGTCTCACTAAAAAAACAGCTCCCATTTTTTCAGGCTCATGCTGGTGATATGGTAATTTCTCTCTTCCATTTATGTCCCTCACTACGATTATCTGTTGAACAATTCACTAGACAAAACCTGACTCATTCTCGAAGACGTCATTTTCATCCATAATATCAACCATATCTTCTTTTTCTCTCAAGCGAAGAAAGCTCAAAAAATGTTCCGTTCGATGCATTCCCGCAAAGAATGCCTGCGGGATATCCACGGTTACGTCGAACTCGTTTGCGTCCTTCCATAGTGCACCTCTAAAGTAGTAGTTCCACGCCCGCTCCGTGGGAACTAGGAAAAACCCCGTTAATTCTGTGGAAAGTGTCCCTCGACCAGGACTATAGTATTCTACCGGAACCTCTGTTGGACTACGTTTCAAGATATTTTCGTGCTCTATTTGGGCCCAGGCGATGCCCTCAGGCGTGATGGAGAAACAGCGCATATTCACCCCGTCATCTGACATCCCGAGGATAACAGTAAGGAGGCCCTCTATTTGAATACCCTCGTTCGCACTCACAAGACGTCCCTGCATTGCCAAATCATAAGAGTCGATCTGTAACGCACAATCCCCTGCACGCACTACACCTAAGAAGGCCAAGTTGCAGTCCTGCAATTCGGGCGCTCGAAATGGAATTCGCGCTGGTGTACGAATTCCCTGTGGATTCCCCGCCTGTGGCGGTATCATGGCACAAAGCACCTCTTTAATGTTTGGAGAGCCCGGTAGCGCATGACCAAACAAGTAGGCATAGCATTGTACCCTTACGTCACATGCTGCCAGAAGCTTTTGAATGAGGTCTTCTGGGAAGATAAGTTGGTCGCTCCCAGCGGTGGCCCCCGCGACGTCGAGCCTCAACGGAGTGCTTTCGTCCAGAAACGCGGCGTTCACCAAGGACCTTGGCCGCCAGTTGCTGTCCAGCGCCACACCCCCAAAGTCGAAGGCGCTCTTAATTTTGCGTGTTACGACCTCACCCGTCTCGGTGGTTAATTCGACCGTTTTTTCGGCCACCTTGGTGCGCCGCATCGATTCAATCTCCTTTATTTCTGCCTCCTGTATTTCGACATTTGTCATCCGTTTCCCGAGCAAAATTCCCTCCTTTTCCTTCTCGGTGAAATCGTTGGGGCTCGCATTCATTCGACGTGCGGCATCCGCGATGATCATCTCTTCTAACCGAGTCGAAACTATCTCCCACTCCTGGCGCGACCCAAATGTTGGCCAAAAGTTTGATGCAGACACCTCAACATGCAGGTCAGGGACGATTATCTGTCGCGTCCGCGTCAAGTTCACATGATAGCCACGCAATATAAGATTGAGTAAATTGAAGCAAGTGATGGGTTGAAATTGCAAAGCGATTTGCCAATCGTCATACAGGCAGAACTCCCAGCCCTTACTCTCGGTTGCCGTGATGCGCAGGTCAACTAGGCGAGTATGACGCAGGATCATGGGCAAAGGCAAGTTGAGTTCGCTCTGACCAATGATTAGGTTGGGATGGTCCAGAATCAGCATGTTATGCAAGGTTTGACGAAACCGAGAACGTGTTACGATGATTTTTTCAGGGCGCTCGTTGGGAGGGGTGCTACGCAGCCACGACGCGATCTCCTCGGCGGCCTTTTCTCGAGCCAGCTTGGAACGACGCTTCATCCCGGCAAAGACGCTCTTATGTACCACACTCATCCTGAGTTGCCCAGTCACCGGTTCGAAGATTAAGACGGCACCATTTTCTGACTTGAACTTTCGCCCGCCGTCCGGTGTGGGTTGCTCGCTCGTCACGTAGGTTGCGCTATCGTCGACAATCCACGTCCGCATACCACCGGAGAAGAGTTCGGCAATGTTCGTATCCGACAGGCTAGACTCGGTCGGGTTCGAACTAAAAAGGCCGAGATCACGTTTCATGCGATCCCGTAGTGTGTTGAGCGCCGGGCTACTCCTCATGATGGCCTGCATAAGTTTTACCATCAGTGGCTTCATTACTGGTATCCAATAGCCAAAGGCGCTGTGGCAATTGTAAGCAATATCGATAGCGATGATAGCACCAGATGGAAACGGGTACATTTTTGCGGTACTATATTCATAAAACTTCTTACGGGCGTATTCAGCAATGTTGTGGCTGTCGTAGTTGCCCCAGCGAAGCTGCACATCAATCCAAAACTTACCCGTCGTGGAGCCCTTGTACTCATCGCCCACTTCATCTGCGAGAGAGGTTGGTTTGCTGGTTACAGGCCAGCGAGCCGCACTCACCATGATGATATCCGCAGCAGAACTAGTAAAGGTATACGACTTCTGTGGGTGCTGTTGCTGAAGAGTCACAGATGCTGCGGACAGATCCATCATAGAGTCCTTCATTTTGCTGGCGATGGCATTTACGACGGAAGCGTGAATCTTTTCCCACAACGATTGACTAAAAATCTTGATTAATGACTTCTTAATAGTCTCAAGCTTACCATGCATAAACACTCCAGTGGTTTCGATCTTCGACTCAAAGCCAGCCTGAACGTCGGAGCGGTTGATAGTAGGACTCCACCACAATGCAAACCGTTGATTCGGAACCTTGGAAAGGCCCGCACGCTGCTGCTTGGCAAGTTTAGAATCCTTCTTCGTATTTTCAAACCCACCTTCTCGGTTGAATTCAATACCTTCCCATGATGGGAATCCAGTGCCCTTAAAGAGACTATGCTCCAAAATTGCCTCAACACCACCGAGAGCGATGTTCATATCTGCTCGGTACTTCTCCAAAACGCCACCACAAACGTTTCCGTCATGCTCATGGTGGAACCACCAATTTTTGAGATACTTTCCAGCTTGGTAGCGCTGGAACTCCATACGAGGCCGAAACCCAACGTCAAAGTGGAAGAGAGGCGCATTACGTGAGAAGCGGACACGGATTCGGGGAACACCTTTGTCAATGATATCCTCGATATCATCCAGTGAGACCCGTCCGCCGGCAGCTTTTGCCTCACGCTCACGTGAGCGAAACTCTAGCCAAGCCCGTTCGCTTTCCCGGAACTCAGTTTCCCACGGAGTGTAGTACTGCAGTATATTAGGAATGGGAATGTTCTCATCGTTAGTAAGCCCCGAGTAGAAAAATTGTATGCCTGTGCTAGTTGTTTTCGAATACACAGTGTCTTTTGCTGGAATAAATGAATGACCCACAGACAGCATACCCAAGCCTCCTAGATCAGATGGTGCGTAAAACATTGCCGCGGGGAAACGTGATTTGGCGCGTGAGTTTAGGTTCATCATGACGCGGGCCTGCATACGATGCTCCGCCATGGCCAGAACCATCTGCAACTCTTCAGAGCCGAGGATCGCCTCACGGTAGTAAGGCACAACTTCAGTTACGAATGCATTCCATTTAGCCGAGATGCTGTGGAAAGTCGAGCTGCCCACCATCATAACAGTGCGGCGGGCCTTGTTGCGCATCATATTGATGTGCTCCTTAGTCACCTGGAGAAACGCACGGCAGGTAATATCCTTAGTGGTGTGGTTGCGCAGGCTCCACATGGACTCATTCTCAAGAACCTCCGTTTCCGTGCGCGCCACGGGAAGCAAGCGGATTGAAAAGCCAGCGATATCACATAGAAGATTGGGGTTATCTTTGGAATAGACACTTAAAAAGCTTGTTTCTTCGGTGATTTCAGCCAAAGCTTGCGGTAGGCGACCACTAAACTCCCATAGCACTGCACGAGCAAGATTGACATCATTTAGGAATAACCGCATGCGTGCGTCGCGAGCCCATTGCTTGGCGTTCTTAAACCCGTATACGGATGCATTCTTAGAACGCATTGCTGGATCTGAGTTTGTCTCTCTCAGGTAACGCTGTCTAACATCATCAGCCTCGGCCTTGGTGTAGCGCAATAAAATGTAAACCTCATTATGATAACGACAATAACCACGAATCGGGTGTGACACCGCCAGGAAAGGGTCTCGGAAAAAACTCATAAAGGGGTTTGGCTTCAGCGCCGTCCCTGCAATTTCTTGGCTTCGTCTAGCTCCTATCAGAAGTATGTCCATCATCAGGCCCCAGTACTGAGCAAGGAATGAGGAAAACATGAACCCTCGAATGAGACCCTTATGGTGATGGTAGCTCATGTCCTTGAACTCCACCACCACGTCGTGACGGCTGACAATGTAATCAACAAGAGACTTATCCATAATCAACTCCAGAAGTGGACGGAAAAAAATCCAATCCACTTGGTCATAGAACGCCTGCTGTAAGTCAGCATGCAGAAGCACTACGGATTCTTCATGGCTGACATCCCATATTTCAGGGCTATTGTTAATGCCTTCACACCAACGGTACACAAGCTGCGGTGCCGGCTCCATATCAGATGGTTTTACCCAGTTGGGGAACATTCGCTGTACCCCCATCGCCTTGTACCATAGGTACTGGTCAAGGAATGCATCGGTCATCTTTTCGGTCGGTACGACGTTATAAATGGGATAAAGATGGGAAAAATTGTCGATGTACTCGACCTCTAAATTTTTGAACCGGCGCTGATGAGCTAAGGCGTCAACGATGCGTGACAACATCTCATGTGGTGCATTGAATGCCTGCTCAATTCGCGCCTGCTCTTCCCGTTGGCTAGCTGTCAAGCGATTCGCAATGTTATGCTGATCCCGGAGGCGATTGAGAGATAGCTTGAGCAGTGAGAGTTCAGCCGTTTTTGACGGATCTGGGAAGGATATTTTTTTAAATCCACGATCATCGAGCCAATTGGCCATCATGCGGTAAATCTCGGTTGCCACTTCTGGCGTCAAAGTTGCCGTGTCCTCACCACGGATGTACCGCCGCTGTCGCTCCTGCTCCTCCATGATCTTCAAGCGCGTAAGGCGACCTAGATTTTTCATGAAAGCCCGCTTGTCGACCATGTCGCTATCCGCAATGCGCTGCCTCTGTAATTGTGCAATGCGAATATACTCCTCAGAACGCAGTTTGACGTACTTCTTTACTAAATCTTCTAGAGGCTTTGCTAAACCAGGAATAGACCACGGCACTCCCGCACGCCAGTGGCGAAACGCCTCGTTCATGTGTTGATCCATAGTCACAATAACAGAGCCCTTGACATTTTCAGGCAGCATCTCGCGTAACTCTCGCCTAAACGCCTCTTTGATGTTGACATCTTTGTATGTTTCCACGCGCTGACGAGTGACACGCTTTCCAGTGTACTTGTCTTTTTGAACTCTCCCATGGAGAACGCGCTCAGTCAAATTCCCTAAGTAGCGCTGTAAAAGAGGAGTCATCCCGCGAAAAAAGAAAACCCACACCCTCCATGAAGGCCCCCAGAACCCGCACCCCGGTCCACTAGGCACCCCACCAACGTTGAACTTGCTGTGCAGCACATGCTTTAAATCGCGGGTTCGCTTGATTTGCCGCATGGTACGCAGTTTATAACGATAGATACCTGTTTGAACTCCGACGTGATTAAACAAGTAGTGCAGGGCGTCGGCCAGCTGGAAAGCATCACTACGTCCAAGCCGGTACATCACATGTAAATCGATGATTTGTTTCATAAATCCTAGCATCTCTCGTACGAGATGAAAGGACGCGCCTAAACGACTCTTTTTGATCTCCTTAGTGGTCAATGTGCGAGTTGGCTTCGCCTCAAAGTTGTAGTCTATGTGCACGTAAGGCAAGCACTTTATGTTGATGAACTGGACGAGCATGTTGTGACCCTGGCGCATAAGCTGCAGTCCTGCCTCCAGCCAGTCCATCTTAGTGCGAGCAAAGTACTTGATCTCCGCAAGTCGTTCTAGTCGAGTCTTTTCAGACGCCCTGGCATCGTCATCGTCTACAGGGGGATGCCTGTGGTCACGATTTCTATGCAAATGGCGCTTAACATGGTGTTTGAGCAACTGAGTATAGCTCCGGAGCGTCTTCTCGCGTGTGTCTGTGGTAAGAAAATCTGGTGGATCCTGATAAAAACTATCACATAGAGGAATATCCACTCGACGCTTCGAACCCCCCTCAAACGCGTTGAAAGGCTTCGGTGCAAAGACAAGAGTCATTGCAGCTTTGGTTTGCAACGTTTCTGAGGGAAGTTCGCTTAAAAAGGGCTCGAAGTTGCTGGGTAAACTCACGGACGATAGAAACTCTTCGTTCCCTTTTCTTTCATCTATTTTACCAGATCTGTCAACATTCGTCATTTGTTGTTGTGCGCGCACTAATGTGACAATAGAAGAACACAGAGCACCGTTAATACAATCCCTTTCTGTGTACTTTTTCTCTAAGGATTTAATAGGATTCAACGACGGATGGAATGAAAAACATGGCAACTCTGGATCGTCATTCTCCACTCGAACTAACGTTGCATAGCGGTAAGGTGCCACCTCGACCTCACTTACCTCACTTCCGTACAAAAAAGGAAAGGCAATCTGTCGCTCTGTGAGCATGGTGAAGCGTGGATTGCGTGGGTTATCACGGTGAATGACACGTCGTAGATCATTAAACTCAGTCCAATCGTCTTCCTCGTCTTTCTGCTGGATTAAGGGAGGCGGTTCAAATTTAGGTCCACGAGGAATGGCTAGATGCATAGCCTTTGCGGTATAGAAAGATTTAAGATTCCACAGGTAGTAATAGTTACGGTCATCTAGAACAGGTAAAATAGGAAATGCCAACCGAAGCAGATTCTCTACAACATCTAAGGTAAAATAGTACCCCCTCGGACGACGTGGACCGTTAATTTGGTTCGACGACACAAGACGTGGAAACGGTTCATACAACCAATTCGAAACCGCACTATTGTCCTCACCTTCCAGCTCATCCCTCAAGGGTGGTGGTGGATCCCGATCCATGAGATAATCGGCGAAATCCAAAGGCGGCTCATTGTCGTCACCCTTGTGGACGGCACGACGGAAGGCGCCGCCCTCCATGCCTAGCTCCACCTTATGAACCCGCATCTTCGTCCACACCGAGCCCCACTGGGAAAGGTACACGGGTTCTGCCACGACGGGGGTGTCCTCCACGATCGTCAGAACCCCTCCCACGTGGTAAACGGTGTTGACGTACCGCGCCTCCTCCCATGGCATCGGCATGTTCTCCATCAGCTTATACAGCGCCAAGGGGACGTACTGTAGCATTGCCACACACAGCTTTCGTTCGGACTTGAAGCGTTTTCCTCCCAAATCACCGTTATCCTTGACAACCTTTCGTATAAACTCGGGTGGCATGAAATCCTTTTCTTCAACCGCGGCTCTATACGCTGCGCGATAACCAAAACGTGTTGTGTTGTGGCGACGCCACTCTTTTACTTGCTCCTGCTCCATCTCCTCCTCATCCTGTAGACCTCCAATGAAAGACCGATGATCTGTATCGTCTTCAGTGAATCCCGGGGGAAAATCGTGCTCCGAATAATTGATCATTTTTTGAGAGTATACGCCTGTAATGAGTAACGATTAATGGTTGAATTAAGATTAATTAAGAATTGTAAAACACACAACAGTGCGTTATATAGCGCGGTTTAACCGAAGATTTGTCTGTTCGTCGATTATTATTTCTTATTTACTTTCACTGTTTTTTTTGTGTGCCTCAAACTAACTAGGATAAAAAAAATAAAAAGACAAAGTGGAAATAAAACATTTGAGAATAATCTGTGAGGCAAAAACAACAAGAGAAACAGCTAAGGACGAGCCAATCGATAGAGTGTGTCGAACATTTCTTCATCCAAAAGGGAACAAACGTACCAGCGATGTGAAAAAAAAATGTGAGGAAGCGGCCACACGTATGCCCCTTCACAACCTAGATGCAGAGACCAAAAACGGGTAAAGTCAAGCTTTTCTTGTGGTACCTTTTCCACTTTCTCAAATCCCCGAACAGGCAATCTCGGAGCACGAAAACAAGGTAATGGAAAGACATAAAATGAATAATTGATAAGGTCTAAATTTCAGGAATCGCTTTGAAGACGTGAGCGCTAGGTTTAGATTTTTCAATTTGCACAGCTGCATTTATCACATCAGGCCATCGAACCTCACGCTTAGTTCCTCGCTGCATAAAACGTGTAGGTTCAAATCCCGCAAAGCTTCCAGTTCGTGTGTAATGGCTTTCATAAAACCATTTGACCGGACGGGATTGAATGCGTCGCTGCTTGCGGAAGTCCGCATCAGCTGTATCGGGTACATGCTCTTGATATTGCTCCTGGGAAGGAGTGTTTTCGATGCCCCACTCCATATTAGGGACCCAAAAGCGGAAGTCCGCCCATTCTTCCTTCCAGTACCACGCGCGCATCTCTGACATCTTTGCCGATCGGAGCGAGCCGTCCGGCTGACGAATCACGAACCGACGCCTTTTCTCGTTTGTAGGATCCAGCTCAAGCTTCTTCAAGGGCTCGTGGCCTACATTAACACCAATCTCTGCAAACATCCAGTTGTATTCGGATTTGTTAGCATGATCACGATGTGGGCCGGCCCATACCGGCATTTGGCTATACTGCTGCACTGGCTCACCAGTGCGCCCAATCATTTCGGGAAACATACGGCGGTAAACATCATAATTATCACCCCAATAGTCCTCATAATCCTGTTCAGTTTGTAAAAAACGATAAGGATCATCCATTTCCCATACGTTGGCATAGCTAGCCTCACGGCGGTTGACCAGATCTCGGAAAAGAAACTTATCGCTGTAGAATGTTATTTTCTGCTCTGCAAAGCGCATTTTACCGTAGAACATCCCTTGCTTTCTTGCACGTACATCACGAATCCATTCGAGCGCAAAAAGACGTTTGGGCAGTGACCAGTCTGGCTCCACACACGCATCGTAACACGCCTTAAAGTGATGCCAGACTAAGATCTTACGCACAAGTGTAAAATCTAGGCCATACATCTTCGCCAGTCGCTCGGGGGGCCATCGCTCAGGAGCCTTGCTCCACAACGCAAAGAGCTCTGGTCCCACCTCATCGCGCACTTTGTAATCTTCATTTATTTCGTACCGAAGCCGTTTGGACATGTCAAAAAACTCTGGTGTGCCCAAAGAGGTTTGGAAGCCTATGCGCCTCTCTAATAGCTCTTTATTTTGTGTGTTGTTCTGCGTAAGCGCCTCAAGCCATAACAAATCTACATGGGTCATAACTGCAAGAAGAGGACGAATGCGACGATCAAAATGTTCGCGTAAGCGCTGCATGCCTTCCTCATCTAAAGACTTAAACCACTCGTTCAGAAATTGAATATAGTCACTAAATGTACAGGGAAATCCAGCCTCACGATCACCAAACTCTAGCGTCCGCCACCGCTCCTTTATAATGTTCTTAATGAGCACATCATCGCTTACAGGTGAGACCGTTCCCTGACTTTCTATGGATGCGTTTCTTTGGCTTCTATAAATGGCTATTTTCTCAGCATTAGTCCGACTTGGCAGCTTCAACAGCTCAACTGAAAGTACATTCTGGAGATACCAGGCCCCAAAAGGGTTTGCCCACCACGGTACATCATAACGTCGATCTTTAAGGGATTGAGGCATATCCATAAAAGGCTGAAGCGCCTCATCCATGTCCTCAGAGCGTGCTCGATTGAGCCATAGATCCCATTGTGGAGGATCGAAGCTCTTCATTTCACTCAAATTATTCGTCCAAACCTTAGGATCACGCCACTGCAGGGGCTTTGGAGGCTCACTTAGGACATGGTGCTTCCAAGACTTGTGCTCACGAGGTCCTCGCTTATTAAATGGGTACCGGCGGCACACCAATGAAAAGCGTAGCATATATGCCGAACTTCACTTTAATTAGCCTTACGGAAGGAAAACGATAACAGAGACCGGCAGAACTAAGACTATTAAATGTTCTCAGATTTAGAATAATCCCCCGGCACCGCCTTTCCACTAAATCAGAGACTGGCGGGAAAAGTCTTCCTATGAGCTGCTGAGAGAAAAAAAGGGGAAAAAGAAAATATAATTTTCTATTGTCAAGTAGAAGCCACTGTGCATATTTTCACACTTTTCATGTGAATCTGATTTCCTGTATCATAGCGAAAGATGTCTGAACAATAAACAATGGTACACAAATATAGTCGCAGTGCTTTAACGCTCTACAGGGATTAATTGCTCTTCCCAGCCGGTAACCAGTAAAAATGGACACTCCAAACGGTCAAGTTTGTGTGAGAGAAAAGGGTGATAACAACTATGAGTAATATTAGCACCGGTACAGGATACATAAGCCGTTGTTGCTGTGTCAGCACGGGGAGCTCTAAGTAACCAAGAAAGATGCTATAAAAATACGCGGATGCTCCAAATAAATACAAGCTATTTGAAAGAATTTGGGATACAAAGGAACTATTGGAGTACAAAACTGGCAAAAGGATAAACTTAATTACTTTTGTCCAGATAAAGTAAATGAAGTAACCGTTACAGTGTACATCAAAGGAATACCGCCACTCTGTCTCGCGAGAAACTTCGTTGAACTGATTTGGATCCACCAGAAAGTGGTTCACAGTGATCCAAATCAGGGACGAAAACAGTATACCGCATAGGTAATAAACAACAAAGACTTCGTAAAAGAAGCAACCAACGACTTGTGAAAATGATTCACTAAATGTTGCCCCGTATGCACCAGTAGTTAGCAAAGTAAACAGAAGCTGTATCACCAAAAAGGCAGGATCATCTCTATAATAATGGTTCTTAGTCATTTTTCGAGCTTTGCTCATTTTGCCAACTAATGAGGGCTGAATACAAAGGGAGTACATTTGTGAAAGAGCAGAATCAAATTCCATTTGATCCACTTGCAATGCACGGCGAGCGAAAGGCGGAAGACGCGATACCCAGCGCGACGTAGCTGAAATACCCTTGGGAATCATAATCTACTAAAGAATTAGTCAACAAAATATGTATCCTAATGAGATCAGAGATCAACTAGGATTAGACGTAATATAATATAAATATTTTGCTTCCTTCAAGCTTTATATGGAAACAAAGAAAAATTAGGACTATCAGTAGTAGTTATTGTAAAGCCAATAAAATCGCGCTTATTATAGTGCACAGAAAAATCAAAGGAAAAAAGTCTTTTTTCTATAATCAAGATTAGGTCAACCTTCTTTGTTACATAAAAATTCTTAAATGGGGAAGTCGGAGATGAAAAGACCGATAAATGCTGGAAAAACGCACTGAATATTTACATAACAAAGCCTTTCAAACACATTCTTAGGATGAAAAGACAGATAGAATTAAGAAATCAGAGTGGGCACGCATTCTACCACGTTGTATGCAATGCAGTCGTTTGGTTGTGGGATTTCTTTAAGAATGTTGATTCGTGATGATACGCTCCTGCACCTGGTGTATAATTAGCGATATTTTGGATAAAGCGAACATCTTTGCCCCAACAAGAGTTCCCTAGGCGAGGATGCGGTTCTAAATTATAGCTTCCAGGCCCAGGAACTTTATTATTTCTTGGAATATTATCATTCCTTGTGGAATCCCCAAAAGTGCTTTTTAAAGTACTAGGTTTTGTCCAGTCATATTTGATATCATAAAATGGTTTATGCTGAGTCATGGGTTGCATACGTGGTTTGGAATCGTGATCTAAGGAATTCTGAGTTCGTACAACTCGATGTGGAAACCTGAGAGGCCTTCTGGGAGGCGAGGTATCACGATCACTAACTTCGTGCACATGCATAGAGGTAAGTTGGTGGAAACGTGGAACCGTGGACCCAAAGGGAGATTCACCTCCAAAGTGAAATTTCTTTGGTAGTGGTGTGGCGTCATAAAATTCAGACACCTGTGTGGAGGGATTTGAATTATCCATAAAGCGGTATGCAGTGGAAGAAAGGGGAAATGTTTGCGATATTTTAAGGGGTCGAGAGCGACGAGGAGCAATATCGCCAGTGTAGTGGCCTGGGCCTGGGGTTTCGCCATTTGTGTCGTTAGGAAACCGTGGAGCCGTGGAACTAAAGTGCTCTCTTGGTTTTGACTTGACAAAGCCCGAAGTGATTTCATATGTACCAGGACCAGGAACTTTAGTTATATGAGGCTGCGACCTGGCAGTTGTGGATACGAACATAGACGATGGCTTTGTGTCATATAGTGTGCGAACCTTCGAATTAAGCCCGTAGCTGCCAGGACCAGGTGTTGAAGACTCTTGCGCGTAATCGCGGCCACTGTACCGATCGAAGTTCACAGTACGAGGATTCGCTTTCCGTGGGGGTGGAAACTCACTCGATTGATTTAAGCCAGGACCAACATCCACTTCTGGTGGGGCACAACCATCGTCTTTTCCAACTGAGAACATGAAAGCTCGACAACGCTTCTTTGTTGGCCACTTATCAACTAGTTCATAGGCCCCTGGACCCGGAAAATCACTCTCATTCAAAAAGGGGAATCTTACCGAAGTAGAAAGAAAGGGACAAGCCGTTAAACCATTTTTATGCGACACTAAAGATGAAGTAATATCATACGCACCTGGCCCAGGTGTCTTTGTATTACTAAAAAGCAGTGGCGAACGTTCTGATGTCATACCAAAGGGGGCATATGCTGTGTTAGAAGGAATTTTATAATCAATATCATACGATCCAGGACCTACTTCAGGACCTACACTAGCATGACCATGTATAGCCGTGGCTTTCGCTCGCACCAGCGGGAGTTCTTTAATAATTTCAGTCATTTTGATCTTGAATCCCTAAATATACAACACTTGCTTGCCCTTTAAATATTGTGTTTTAATTCCTTTCTATATTTAGAATAATATAAATAGATAAATGGGTTTTAATACACTATAAGAAACAATACCTGACGCTTCTGGTATTTTTAATAGTTTAATCTTAAAATAATATTGGAGCAATATACCCTGTGCAAAACTCATAATGGTAAGATTCTTGTATTTTTAATATAGATATATTGAAGATACAAATATATGAAAAAAATGAATCTATTCTAATGTGCACCATAACTTACGTCTTTTTTTCAAAAAAAAAAAATGCACTCACCCCTTAAACCCTTTATTACTATAATTAATAAATATATAAAAATTAATCCGTCATAGATTCAGGTAGACCCATACCACAAGGAAAAATAGAAGAATAACAAAAATGTAGCTCCATGTTTTATATGCTGCTATCCACCTTGTACACCACGGTTTGAAAGGTCTTGAAGCACAGTTAGGGCATAGGAAAAGGTTATTATTCTCATGTGAAACATAAAAAAGCCCATTTGGCAAGAAAATCTCGCCACACCATGAGCACAGCTTCGTTTGATTTGAACCACTAGCAAGATGTAATCTTTCCCCTTTAATAGTTATGGTAGGTCCTGATCTACAACACATACCGTAAGCTTTCTCACAAATGCTACATTCCCATATCGCCATTTCAGAGTAATGATTACAACATGAATAATTTCTAGAATGAACAAGCCATAAATTATGCCCGTTGTCACATTTTTGAATCAGACTAGAAAATAAAATGTCAGTTAGTTTATTGAGCAATGCGTCACAAAAAATAGTAAATCCGATAAGCAATGGAAATTCTTGACGCATAGTAGAGTCGAATAAATGATAATTTCTTCCATATATCTCATCGCTTTTTGTCGGAAATCGTATAGGATCTAAACAAACAACGCGTCTCTGCTTATAGCCCTTGAAAAAATTACTCTTGTCTGTTTCAGACAAGATGTGTGCAGTTGAAACATTATGAAAGGGAGTAACGGAGCATCCAATAGGTATATTTTTAGGTGCACCACTATTTAACATCCCTCTCCATTTTTCAATTCTCTGTTTAGATATAGGAAAGATCTGTTCAATATATGTTAAGCATATTTCTACTTCTTTCTGAATTCCAACATGCAAAGATCGAAGCGACTTTCGTTCTAGTAGGGCGTAGACATGAGCTGCTAGAGAACACGTTTTATCACTACTAAAGTTTGCCATCTGCAAAGCTAAATCCTGATCCTCGGCCCAATTCAAAACACAGTTCTTCAAAATGACATTAGGCAAAGCAGTCTTCTCAGAATTTTCACATTGTAATGCTGAGATAAGCCGTTTGAAGTTGTCATTTGATAAAATTTGTAGACATCTGGATAATAAAGAGATGCCTGTCCCGTCTAGAGTTTCAATCAAGGAACTTTTCGCGAACATTTCCAATACGTCAATAGTGATGTATGAGTATGCTTCAAAATGGCGAAGCACGTAACGATCATCGATAAACTCTCCTTTACGTGATAACGGGTTCATAAGAATCAACCACAGCTCCAACAGATTATTAAGATGAACACGACGGACGCAAGGAAACCCATCCAACGACAAAAGGCACTCCCTCAAGCTAATCAGGCAATTTCTGTAAAAACTTGAATAAATGTCGATAATGTCATTAGAACACTTGCAAAGAGAATCATTCTGAAACTCTCTGTTTCTCAAAGAAAACGCGTACCTATTTTTATCATCGCTATTGATAGTCATTGTGATAAATATTTCAGTTAGAAATGGGGTTGTGCATAGAAGCTGAGCTACTGCAGAGGGATCATAAACTGGACCCCGATGCCATTCCAATGCGGGTTGTGATATATTTCTGTGCGAAAGCAAAACAGGCGAGCAAATTAATAGTGCGGCAATAGTGTCGGCGGAAGTCCACATAATTTCCTCGAAAGCAATTTTCGAAGAGAGATTTCGGAATAGTGTAGGGGTTGTATAGTATTGAATAAAGGCAGTTAGAACACGATGGTAAAATGGGAATTCGATGGCAGCCTTTTGGTGAAAAAATGAAAGTAGATTCTCGCGGAAGTGATGAAACAAACCGATAACACCAAGAGCTCTTCTCGAGATAATACCACTACCATGCTTCTCACATCGGCGCATTGCATAACAAAACATACGCAGAATAAAGTAGGGAAGTGGTAGGCATGGTAAAGAAGTCATTATTTGCTTTGATGAAACTTCTTTACGTGTAACCAAAGGCGGAATCCAAAAAGGGACAAGCAAAAGGGGCGGACACTTAGATCGTGGCATTTTGTATAAGCTAACGTCGTTAGGTTCACCTAAAAGACTAAATGAATTTCGATACAATGTTGATAAGGGAAAGTCAACGGTGTACTTGGCAGGAGACTCTTCGGGCTTCTCAATACTTTCATATTTCCAGGAACTCTTTGCTTTTGTTGAAAATTCAACTGACGGTAATGAAAAAGAGTCCAGAAGATTTATAAAGGGAGTGCTCGGAGCTAAAAAGCGGAAAAGTGCCGAGGCCATTGAAGAGTTTGGCGAGTTGTTTGCTATATCCATCCAACATGGACTTTCTTCGTGGAAATTAGAATCATGAAGGCGCCCAAAAACACGATCGCAAAGGATAACAAATCCATCCTTGCGGAAAAATGCATCTAAATACTCCTTTGTCTCAGCATATAGGGGTTGGTATGGATAATCAACTTTGCAAAAAAAAGAACTCACAGCTAAAATTTCCTTTTCGACTGCAAACTCGGTTGTCATAATTTAATCCTTCTGGAAGCAGCTAAAAATAAGAAAGAAGTGACAAATAATAAGGCAAATGCCAATTGTTCATTTGAGAATAGAGGTCACTCTGGAAAACGAAAACGACAACAAAAGTGATTTTAGGCCCTCAAAAAAAAATAGTTAACATAATCCAATTTTTAATCCCAGAGATGCACGCACACACAGTCGACAGTCTTGGTGAAGTGAAAATGACTTTTCACGCATGTGCTTTTTGATTTCTCCTAGAGGGGGGGGGGGGGGCGCCCCCCATAGCACCACCGGCGCCATGGGGAAAGCCGCATGTCCAAATACAGTAAAACAATCGGTGTTGGAAGCACCCGCCCTTCTATTCTCACCCCAACTGGACAGAACATGTCATAATCTTCGAATAGCTATCTCTGCCGATGGGCACGCTTTGCTTCCCCCCCCTTTTAGGTGTCATCCCAAAGATTCTCCCCGCTTTTGGGGTGCGGGATATTTATCCCCCATGGGCCCCCCCTACGCATACACACAAAGCTCGGCAATTGGCGCCTGTTAAATCCATCTGGTCAGCTTGCGTGGATTTCGAGGTACCCACCGCAGGGTATTCCATTGTTCAGAAGTATGGGGTATCGCGGAGTCGCTTTTTTAGTTTTTATTCCATAAAAAATCCACCCTCCTGACAAGAATTGTTCCAATTCCACAACTAAAGGGAGGAGTTGAATCAAATATTTTTGGTAGAGGTTTTAGCTAATGATGACGCTATCAGGGTATGCTTTCTATATTATTAAGCGCTTCTTCCACTAGAAATGTGATATGTCAATTTTTTTCCCCATGTCTAGTATATTTCAGATAGGAGTCATATATAATATTACTTGGCATTTCGGTGATCGTTCTTTATAGCAATAAGCAAGACTAGTTTAACCATTCAGATTTTACTGTTAATGTCGATCTTTTTCCCATTCAGGTTTAATATTTTATTCTTCAATATTGCTTGTTATGCTGCTTATTAGTTTTGTGTCTTTGTTTCTTTAAAATTAATTAGCTTTTATTTGCAATTTTTTTGTTCTCATTCTTTCAATAGCTTGTTTTTTCTTTTTATTTTAATATTATTTTAACTTTTTTTGCATATACTCTTTTCCTTTGCATTATTTCGATAACCACTAGCTTTAGAAGTTTTGTTTAATTTTTGAATTATTTCTTTGTATGCATGAATTTCTTTATTTTTTCAATTTTTATTTTTCAATGCTGTGATTCTTACCTTTTATTCTTACTCACATGGCTGCCATGTATTTGAATTAATATATTTGATTTTTTTTTTAATAAATGATATTGTGTAAATTTGGGTCATATGTTCTATGGCAACTTTGTTTAATCGCATTTTTGATCCTCTTATTCATCCTATGATTGGCAAATTCTCTATTTTTAGTTAGCTAAGTTTCAATGTTTTATAGGCGACTTGTTTCAGTTCAGCCAGATATACTGGAATGGGTTACATCACAGCGTAATACCTTAAAAATTTTGAAGAACGAACGTTACAAGCTCGAAAAGGGTTTTATCGCTTACTTCAATGATATTGTTGAGTTTTTAAGGAATCGCGAGTCCCCACAAAGTAGTGAACGGAGTGAAGATGAAAAAAAGAGAGCTGCAAATGCTGAAAGATCTATTGGTCAATTTTATGAATCTGAAGAGCTTACAAAGAGTATGAAATGGAAGCGTGTGACGTGGAACGAAGATGCAGATTATTCCAGCTTTTCTAAGCGTATCCTAGATAATGATACTATGTTTAAGCAGGTTCCAGCGTTTTCGTTCATGTCGGTCCATATCATAAAAGACCCATTGAGCACAGATTTGGTAAATTTTCCACCCGAAAAAAAAAGAAAATAGACCCAGGTGATTTGACCAGCTTTTTTTCTCAAGAACGCGAGCCAAAAATCGTGAATCTGTATCCTACCACTGTCACAGCGGAACGACGTAGTGCATTTAAGGTAGATTGGTCTTCTGGTAACGTGGAGATTCTTGATACAGCGTCGGCGCAGGAGATTCTAACATTTCTTTCGACCGTTGCCCCTCGTCTTCAAGCATTACAGGTGAAGATGGAAGAGCAACAAACCCGCCAGGCACAGGATGTTGAAAAGATCAGAGTACGGATTGGTGCATTAGTTAAATTCAACGAGTTCGACACAAGTTTTTGGGACGATGAAAAACGTAAAACAGATCCAAATTATGTCAACCCAGACGACTTAGACTTTTTTCTAAAGTCAATGCTAAAATCAGCTTTAATGTATCGTTGGTTTTTAAAGGGGCAACAGATCCGTGTTGTTCCACCTGGAAGTTCGTATTTTGTGAATGTGGACGCGAAGGAGGTGCATATACCGGCAAATTTTGCGGAGTACAATTGGTTAAAAGCCCATGATAGATTCACAAAAATCGAAAGTATATTCGATAGCTTCAGACGATTTTGGTGGGTCTGGTTTTCTTTAGGGATGGTACTTATCGGTGATGTTGAACTACTTTAGTTCCTAAATAAATATATTAAGATATTAATATTAAATATATATTTACATACATCACGTATTATTCTGTTTTCTGTCTATAGTGTTGGGAGAAATTCATCAGACAACATTAAAGCGCAATATTTCTCGGGCTGAGTTATTCGTGAAGTTGAGTAATAAAAGTAATTATATCCTCTAATCTTGAGTATAAAATTTTAGCGCTTAGGTTTATTTTTTATGCATTTTCATATCCACAGTTGTATTAGCATATTGTTAAATTCGTTGTTGCTAGTTCTTATTATTTAAACTCATGACAGAACTATCTCTTATGGAGGAAGCTTTCGCTCTTCTGCAAAAAGATGGCAAAATACCGAGAATATCAATCCCCACAGCTTTACGTGCGGCTGGGTTAAATCCAAGTGAAGAAAAAATTAAGCAAATTATGTGTACGGCTTCAGACCTCGATATGCCCGCTTATAAGAAATTGGTGTCAGAACACGATGACAAAACTGATACACCGGAAGCGGTAAAGGAAGCCTTCCGCGTATTTGACAAGAATTCAGATGGTACCATCTCTGTTGGTGAGTTTCGACACATTATGACAAGTATGGGAGAAAAGTATCGCGAGGAAGAGTTCCATGACCTTATTCAAGGGTTTGAAGAGGATGGTATAATTCATTATGAGAGACTAGTCGAAAGAATGCTCGCACCCTTTACCGATCATGTCACTCAAACGTTTGATTGAAACCATATAAAATACACAAGAAGATGTATTTTCACTATTATCATGTTGTAGAATTATTCCAATGTTATATCCATCTATCAGTATACTCTCACACTGAGATTCTCGTTTTGTATTTAATTACATTGATGTTGCCCTTACTTTTATCACTGAATTTCCCGATTACGCTTCCTTTATTGTTAGACTTGAACTTTATCTAAATATTTTTAAAATAATAAAATAAAATATATACTGTACTTGTCTTAAAGGTTCTTTAGTTGATGGTATATATATAAATGGTAAAAGTCAAGATCATTAGTCGTTCGGAGTTGGAGTGGACGAAGGATCGCTCTGCCGAGGTACCAAAAGCCAACCGTAATTATGACCCTAAGTTCAACCCGATGTCGAAACAGGTTGAATTTACAAGAGCTGTGCGTGCCGCTAAATTAGACAGAATGTTTGCCAAACCTTTTGTTGCTGCGTTGCAGGGTCACCAAGATACAATTCGATGCATCGCAACAGATTATAAAAGTTTGTCAACCGTTGCTACCGGCTCCATTGATGGTGAACTGATGATATGGGATATGCTAGCGAGAAAATCACGAGCAGTTATCAGCGCTCATCGTCATTCTATTGAGGGTGTCGTTATTTCGCCAGATGGTGTTGCTTGCTTTACTGCCTCCCGAGACAAGGTTGTGAAGATGTGGGATTTGGATCTTGGAGGTTCTGAAGAGGCTGCCGAACCTGTTGCAGAGTATTTGGGGGATTTTCCATTTTCATCTATCGATCATCATTTCCACAAGCCCTTATTTTGTACTTCATCTGATACCATTAGCATTTGGGATATAAATCGTACCCAGCCCATTCAGAAGTTCTCATGGGGTGATGACACTATCTCATGCTGTCAATTCAACAAGGTAGAAGCAAACATAGTAGCTTGCTGTATGTCAGATCGAGGTGTCTTTATTTATGATACACGCAGTCAGTCTGCCCATAGCAAAATTGTATTAGAAATGTGCTCCACGTCACTCTCATGGAACCCGATGGATCCTAATGTTTTTGTAACCGGTAGCGATGATCGCAACTGCTATTTGTTTGATATTCGCGTCCCCGGCAGACCCCGGAATGTGTTCCAGGGTCACATTCAACCAGTGTCATCTGTAGATTTTTCCCCTGCAGGAAACATGTTTGCAGCGGGGTCACAGGATTACACCCTGCGGATATGGGATATTAATCAGATAACCAAGTCAGACTCTTTGGAGATGTTTCATACAAAGCGCATGGCTCGGGTTTCCTGTGTTAAATGGTCACCAGATAATAATTATATTTATAGTGGCAGTGAAGATGCCATCCTGCGCGTGTGGAAGTCAGATGCGAGCAAGCCTATTAGACCTTTGAGAGGACCAGAAAAGCATTCATTTAACTATATGCGTATGTTGAAAAACCGATACCGTAATTTTGTTGAAGTGAAACGGATCAGTAGTCAGCGCAATGCTCCAAAAGCTATTTTGCGTGCCTCTAAACGTTTGAAGAAAGCTGGCAAACGAGAATTGTTTAAAGAAATGTCCCGTAGGAAGACTGAAAACATTAAGCCACTGGCTAAGCGCAAAACCTATGACTATGTCGAGTAAATATATGTTCTTCATTTGAAGGCATGCGTGTTGGTATGTTCTCTGATGCTAATTGATTTTTTTAGCTATAACTGCGCTAAGTTAAATTTATTTCGTTCTAATCGTGTTTAATGTTTTTTTTTTTTAGCAAGGTAATCTGGTTTCAGTTGCATTTTTTTTCATCGATGTAGGGTAAAATATTATATCTTTGGGCTTCGCTTTCTATCGCATTTTCCTCTGCTTTTTTCTTTTTTCCTTCGGTTCTTAAAAATGCATATAGGCCTTCCGGTTGACTTGTCAACCCTAGTATTAGACTCCTTACAATAATGACAAATTATAACCGACTCAGCTTTATCGTGGAATACTTTGATCCACACGCCTCCGTCACGCGCACGTACCAGCTTCTTTATTATTTGGATGATAGTACCATAGAGATGCATGACCTTAAGACACGACGCCTTTTTTTAAAGCGTTGTGCATACCCCTCTCTTACATTAAATGAGCTTTTTCTAGGGGCTATCGTAAATGTCTTTTCACGACCTTTAAAAGTAATTGATTTTGGTGATGAGGCTACGCGGAGGCAGTTGGGTGCCAACTCTGAGACTGTCATGATAATCATATGCGAGAACAATTTCTCGAACTCTGGAAATATGGTGAGTTCATTTATCGACGTAAAGCTACGTATCACCAATATCCGAATGGTAGATCTCCCACAGGGTCTTGCGGAGAGGTCTAACTCAAGTCAACGGGTCATTCTCTCAGTTTTGAATGCACCTCAAGCACTTGAGAAGACGAAAGGGATATGCAAGCAGTACCCTCAGGGTGTTTTCATAGTGGAGAATGACGAATTGTTCGCTGCTTTGGAGGGACTGGTACGTGGCCCAGGGCCAACTACTGCTTGTTTGACGAACTGTGCAGTTTGTGTAATTAAGCCGCATGCCATCACAAGTGGTCATCAAGGACGCATCTTACAACGACTTTATGATGAGGGTTTTACTATTTCTGCCCTGGGTATGTACATGCTTACCACAGCCGACTCTGAGGATTTCCTTGAAGTGTACAACGGAGTAATGCCCGAGTATAGGAAAATGGTTGAGCAGCTCTCCAGTGGCCCGGTTTGGGCTATTGAAGTTCGTGCTGAAAATGCCGTTGCTGCACTACGTGCAGTGTGTGGGCCTCATGATCCGGATGTGGGGCACTTATTGTTTCCTCACACAATTCGTGCCCAATACGGCACGAGTCGAATACAGAACGCTGTCCACTGTACAGACTTGGAAGAAGATGGGCCACTGGAATCGGAGTTTTTCTTCTCTCTCTTGCAAAACAAACCGTAGATAACAGGAAAATAACGGATCTGTAGAGCGCAATTTTGCGATGTATTATTATTATTATTGTCTTTGCAAAGAATCAGCATTATGAAGCAGCAACAGCAATAATAGAAAGCATTGTGTTTTCTAATAATTGAGTCATTTTTTAAATACCTTCTACTTCCTATATTTGTTCCTTTTAATTATTTATTAACACATTGTTTATCTTCATTCCTTCACTTTTTTCACTATTGTTATTTACAATAATTGAAAAGCTCCTTTTTTAAAAAAGCTATAATCGTTCTACAAAGGATATACCAACAGTAACCGGAAATAAGAATGATTCAACCTCAGTTAATTCTTCTCCGAGAGGGCACCGATACATCTCAAGGGAAACCCCAACTCATCAGCAACATCAATGCTTGCGTCAATATTGTCGACATGGTGAAGACTACACTGGGTCCATGCGGCATGGATAAACTGATCCACAACGGTCGTGACGTCCAAATTTCGAATGATGGTGCGACCATCATGAACCTTCTCGACATTGTCCATCCGGCAGCACGAAGTCTTGTGGACATCGCCCGCGCGCAGGACCATGAAGTGGGAGATGGTACCACATCCGTTGTCATCCTGGCTGGGGAACTCCTTAGGGAGTCGAAGCAATGCATTGAAGATGGCATTGCTCCGCAGCTTATCATCAAAGCATACCGTAATGCTTTGGCAGTCGCACTCAAGACTCTGGACGAGCTGAGCGTGCCATTCGTGGAGAATAAAAATGCGATTGACGAAAATTTGATTCACTGCGCGGAAACTGCGTTGAACTCTAAACTCATTAATGCACAGCGTCACTTTTTCGCAGAAATGGCGGTAAAGGCCGTGAAGTCGTTGGATGATGATATGAATCTCGATTATATTGGCATCAAGAAGGTGACTGGTGGAAGCATAACTGACAGTATTTTAGTGGATGGCGTAGCATTCAAGAAGACCTTTTCCTACGCTGGATTCGAGCAACAGCGAAAGATGTTCGTTTCGCCAAAAGTACTTCTCCTCAACATAGAACTTGAGCTAAAGGCTGAAAAGGACAACGCAGAAGTACGTGTCAAGGATCCAAAGCAATACCAATCCATTATAGATGCTGAATGGAAGATCATTTTTGATAAGTTGGATAAGTGTGTTGCAACGGGGGCCAACGTGGTGCTATCGCGACTGCCCATTGGAGACTTGGCGACACAGTACTTTGCTGACCGTGACATCTTCTGTGCGGGTCGTGTTTCCAGCGACGACATGAATCGCGTGATCTTCGCCATAGGTGGTGCGGTGCAGTCCACACTCAGCAATGTCCCTGATACGGCGCTCGGCAGCTGCGAGCTCTTCGAGGAACGCCAGGTGGGCACGGAACGGTATAATTTCTTCACAGGCTGCAAAAACTCCAAGACAGCCACCATCATCCTACGCGGTGGCGGACAGCAATTCATTGAAGAGGCTGACCGATCATTGCACGATGCTATCTGCATCGTGAAGCGCGCGATTAAAACGGGCTCTGTGGTTGGTGGCGGCGGCGCAGTGGAGATGGAGCTGAGTAAGGTGCTGCGAGAGTACTCTCGCAGTATCCGTGGAAAGGAACAGATGGTGATTAGCGGCTTTGCGCGGGCGCTAGAAGTTATTCCACGTCAATTGTCTGATAATGCCGGACATGATAGCACGGATATTCTCAACAAGTTGCGCCAAAAGCACTACATCTGCGATGACAAGTCAGGCCGTTGGTACGGTGTTGATATTGTCAACGGTGGTGTGTGCGACAGCCTTTCCAATTTCATTTGGGAACCAACGTTGGTGAAGCGCAACGCCCTCCAGAGTGCAACCGAAGCTGCATGCCTGATTCTTTCGATTGATGAAACAGTGACCAATAATGAATCTGAGGCAGCCAAAAAGCAGGCAGCAGGAGGTGGCATTGGCAGCCGCGGGGGCATGGCCATGAGCAAGGCAGGAATGGGTGGTATGTTTGCTGGTGCACCTGGTGTCACACGCTACAAGGGTGGCCGTGGCAAGTAGATGCAATATCCAAGTAAGGGAGGAAACTGAAGAGCCTAATGAGAAGGAAGGAAAAAGTAGGACAAGTATTCGAGGAAGCGGGGTCTCATTTAATATCTCTCGTTACCTTTTGTACTTCGGTCTAACCTCTTAAAATAAATATATATATTTATTTGGTTTATGTGAGTGTGTGTGAAGATAATTTTTTATCGTGGTTTTCACATCACCAAGGGTTGGTAAAATTGTTAACTTTTTAAATTAAAAATAATGCTCCCTCCAAATTAGGATTCTCAACTTTTCCTCTTTTTATCGTACAAAAAAGGTGAGAGCGGATCCATCAAAGCAAGCATGATAGTAACGCTCTATGTCAAAGGAAAAGGTCTTTATTGAAGCATTATTTACTAACGATAATTGGTGGAAATTAATGAATGAAAAAGGCGATAGTATCGGTCAGTTGAGAATTAGACTTTTGTGCATGTTTAAACAGAATCATAATGCTGTAAGCCTCACTTGTGAGCTTGTTTCTCAACGTTTTTTATGTTCTTACAAGTTTAAGTACAATCAATGGTATTGTAGCATTTTTCTCCGTTCTTTTGTTGTAAGCATTAATGATTCGCAGGACAATAAGCTGTTTACCATGGTGGAACTTCCAGACTGAGCACCGCCAACGTTGCGTTCTTATGTACGGTGGTGCTCGTGTCAAAAATACACATAATGCTAACCACAGAGTGTTTATTAAAAAATACCGCCGCAATGCATTTCCAAACCGTACTAGACATCACTGGGCAGTTAGCATGACTGGGATATCAGGACAGCGGCCACGCCGAATGCCGTGGCCGTATGATATCACGTCAATGATCTTTAACCAGCCCCGACAAGGGTCTGACAAAATCGGCTATGTGGTAGGCACGAGTATGCTCAAGACGGCGATCGTGGCCAGTAATCACATGGTGTATTACCCTAAGTTCAATCAGAGGGTCGCCCGTACAAGCCGCTTCTTTGCCCACGACGAAGACTTAGCCTGCGTGGAAGGTGATCTTGTACACATTAAGCAATGTCGAAAAATATCCAAGTACAAGCACTACTATGTCTTTAGCATTCTCGAACCGAACATCGAGGGACGCGAACGACTGAAGCTTGGTCTAAAAGCAGTTCCGCCACCCTTATTTGGATACCCTGTTTCGCGTCGTATTGTCAAACTAAACTTGACTAATGTAGATGGCACAAAGGAGAAGCTGGCGGCGGCGATACAGGAACACGTGCAGGATGCCTACCGATATGCGGGTAACACTCCTAATGAACCACGTACTAAGCTCTCAGATACGGTTTCATTTGACGAAGCCAACAAGATGATTGCACCAAACGCTTCTGAGACGCCTGAACTTCCCTTCTCAGAAGAAACAAATGCACTAGAAGGGGCCCTTTCTGAGGAATTCAGTGAAGTGGATCAGGACACTCGCCAAAAGAAAGGTGAAGATTTTTGGATGAATTTAGAACCTAAGGGTAAATATGATTTCAAGAATCTAAAAAAGTCTCCGTGATCATGGGGAAGAAGATGCGATTACTTTATTCTGCGTTGTGTTTCAAGTTCTTATCGGATTATGATTTTCGAGGTAGCAGGGTTGAAGCTGCTGGAAAAGCATATTTTTCGCCGATATTATCCTAGTTATCGCTGAAGTGGGCAGATTTCATGCCTCGCATCTATATTGATTTTGCCGTTGTTGATGAGCCCGTCATAATTTCCCCCCTTTTAGTTTCCTCTTCTTGAAAACAGAAAAGTAAACGAATTCCTTTGTTATCATCTTATCTCAACTATTTCTTCTTTCGTTTCTTAATATAGGGAAAAAGTCTATTGTTATTATCTTGTTATTGCTAGTAGTAAATCAACTTTTTGTGTCGCTTCTTTTTTTGCGATTTTGTACCAGAGAATGCCAGGCTTTTCATTTGAAAATGTTGAGAGAAATCTAAAGCTCGAGAACCAGGGCTATAAGCCGCCACGTGCGTTGAAAACGGGCACCACTATTGTTGGTGTGGTCTTTAAGGATGGCGTTGTTTTGGGTGCTGATACCCGAGCCACAGAGGGTAATATCGTCGCTGACAAGCGTTGCCGCAAGATACATTACATGGCACCCAACATTATGTGCTGCGGTGCCGGTACTGCTGCAGATACGGAGTCGGTCACTAATATGGTTTCCTCACAGCTATGTTTGCACAGGCTGGAAACGGGAAAGCAAAGCCGTGTGCACGAGGCGCTAACCTTACTCAAGCGACATCTGTATCAATACCAAGGTTATGTCAGCGCGGCACTGGTTCTTGGAGGGGTGGATGTGGGGGGTCCCTACTTAGCAACTATCGCACCACATGGAAGCACGGACCGCCTTCCCTTTGTGAGCATGGGCAGTGGCAGCCTTGCTGCTATGGGGGCTCTTGAAGCTGGATTCAAAGATGGTATGACGTGCGACGAGGCGAAGCAGCTAGTGGCGTCTGCCATCCGTAAAGGTATCTTCAATGACCCTTATAGTGGGACACAGGTGGATATCTGTGTGATTACTAAATATAAGACAGATTTGATTATTGGGTTTGACCAGCCAAACGAACGCATGTATCCTAAACAAGAATACGCTTTCCCACCGGGCACCACACCCATTTCGGTGGAAGAGATTCGAAACTTGGTGAATATTGTGGAGGTAGAGTGAAAAATATCCTTTGCATCTAGTTGTCTATATTTCGTGTGCCCAAGCTCAACCATTTAAAAAGTTGTGGAAAGAATAAGCATTGAAGATGCAAGCGAAAAGAATACGACGAGTACAAACATTTAATGGTGTTTTTTCTTTGAAACTAAATATGCCTCCTGTATTGTGGTGGGTTTGAAAGTACAGTATATAGGTGATCGGAATAAATATCGAGCAGAAGCTAAGGAGGGCTACCACCGTTTCAATGTGTTCCATAGGAGTAGCTTCAAAGGAGAGCAAAGGGTACGTTTTTTTTTTTACAATACATTTAGGTTTGATATGGGCATGCTCTTGATGAAATAATCTGCTAAAGTTATTGTATCCTTTTTTCATTATTTTTCCTTTGAATAATTTCAAGAAGCTTTTAGGCAAGGAATGAGTGTTCGTCTCGCACGGTGTGATCCCAAATTATTGGACTTTGTTACGTGGGTAGTTATAAGAGGCTGTCGCTTATTTCAACGCGTTCATATCACTCCTAAAGGTCTCTTAGCTACAGAAAGAATTCCTGAGTATGATTTTGTTGCCATAGTGCCGGTAGGAGCCACATTGAGCATCTTCAACGTGATTGAGGATATTACCTTCCCATTTAAAGTTTCTTCCTTGAATCACGGTGACAAGATGCCTTTCTTTCAGGATCTCACGCGTGGAGACTTTGCTCTTATTGCGTTTCTGGCCAAGGCTTTGCTAACTGGGAATCCGCGTGGGATAAAAATGTATTTGGACATTCTGCCATGCGACCATAAAGTATTCATTGAATCGGTGCTTAGTGCCGCGCAGGCTACGGAGGGCTATCAGATCTCGACTCACACACTGCTGACACAATGCGGAGCGTGTAGAAACGATTTTGACGCAGCATTTAGGCACGCCTACTGCCTGTACCGAAGGCATGCCATTCCCTTTTGGGCTTCGCATGGAACCTGGGGAACGGGACATCCGTACTTTCAGAATTTGCCGTTTGTGCAAGCAGGAGTGGGGAACATCATGGGAATGGTCCCTGTTCTGGACTTGTCTTTGCATTCACCTACACCAAACGCCTCTATTGGTTACCCTGATGAGGAGATGCTTTTGTGGATATCACAGCAAAAAAAAATGAATACTAATCCTAGAGAGAATTATTTTGTTATGCAAGCGCTGCGAGATATAGAGAAGGGTGAGATGGTAACAACTGACAAAAATATGTATTTCAACTTTGACGATGATACCTTCAAGGATTGGTTCGGATTTCCAAATGAATCACAAGTTTCATATAACTGAGTTAAATCCACCAAAAGTCAGGTATCGATAGGGATGATGTTAGTACATTTGACCGCGGAGAGATTTAGTGAGTCCTGAGCATAGGACTGGGCACCTACCCACAACTATGGGCAGGTTCATAGTTACGGATGCTACCTATTTTATTAATGGGTGCAAGACGATCAAAAAACTTCAGAGAATGTTTTCCATTTGAGCCTCTCGTTATTACTGAGTCAATCTTTCTTATGCTCATCCAATATCCGCTTTATTTGTGGCCCGCCGTTTCTCTTATCCTGTCCTTTTTTCACTTCTTTAAGCCAAAGAAGGCGTGGGCATTTGGTCTTGGGACTCTTCTCAGCATATGTCTACTGTTGAGGATCTCAAAAAGAAGGTTGAAGAATTACAGGAGCAAAATAATGCCCAGCATCTCTTGATCAAGAAGCAAGAATTCGAGATCAAGCGCTTGTATCGTTCTAATCATGAAGTTGAAATGTGTCGACTACCAGTTCTGCATAGGAGGTTGGATACGCTACAAAACTACTCGAGACAGCTTGAAAGGGAACTTGACGAAGAGCGCAGGCAGGCGAACGTGTTCCAGCAAGAAGTCTTTACCTTGCGTAGTTTAGTCGAATTCGCTCATCATCCAGAGTTGGTGGATGCTGCACGGGCAGAGGGGCGGTCTTCAATGCTAGAAAAAGAGTTAAAATCTATTCATCGGCAACTAAATGATGCGCGGACTCTGTGCGAGGCGTATCAGCACCGCTGCGGCAAGGCTTGCGAGGTAGCGGAACGGGTACAGCAGGAGCTATACCAGACTCAGGAGGATAAGCGTGTTTTAGAAGACTACTTTACCCAACAGTTGAATCGTTTTGGGACTTCAATGAAGGAAATCAAGGAATCTATTGGTGAAAATTATGCAAAAAAACTACCGATGTTTGAAAACAGGACGGGGTCTAATGTAGGAATTACTGGAGGTAGAACACAAACCTTTGATGCATGCAACGAAATAGAGCTTGACATCTCTATTAGCAGTGGAACAGAAGGAGTTCCACCCGACACGGGAGACGAACCCTCCATACGAATATTAAGTGCCGATAGTCATTTCGTCGCGCTCTCTAATGGAAAAGTCAATCAGCTAGAACAGCTACCTAATCATGCTTATGAGAATGAGTTAGCTCCTCAAGGTACAATAGACGTATGCCAGAAAGGTCAAATGCTTAATAAAGCGAGTTCTTCCGAGCTAAAGAAGCGCGATGGCTGCTTTCTGAATTTTGATAGCACTTTGGATGAGGATGCGCGCAAGTGGAAGAGGGCGTTGGGTATTCTAAAGGGAGAAAACCACTTACTAATCTGCCGAGTCAATGAATTAGTTGAGAAAAATAAAACGTATATCAGGAATATTGCTTATTTGGAAAAGCAAGTGTCTATGTTGAATCATAAGCTGCGCATTGGGGGATCAATAGAGAGTGATGTTTCTTCTTCTCTAGCATAGAGTGTCACATTCCGAATATGCAAAAAATGCGCATTAGGAACAAGGATGCTGATTAGAGGAATATAGTTGTAAAGCACTCTTAATTATTTTCCGTGATCCTTTGTCGTCGCCTGCATATATTACCCCCATTTCTAAAACTGTCTCATTTTGTACAGTACAATATTGCTGAATATTACCTTGCTTACACGCAAGAAATCGATTCTACTCCTCCCCCCGAAAGGTGCGTTATGCTTCCGTATTCAGACAAAAGTTTACTTGTTGCCTTTGGATTCATGTTTTGTCTTAGCCTGAGAGCAGGGTAACATCTTTTCTCTTATTTGGGGGCGAAAGATCATCAAAATTCGAAGAAGCTCTTTTTCCTTTAGTAAATTGTGAGTCCTTCCTATAACTTCTAGGTAGCCATGTCACAGCTTTGGGTGAAGAAAGCCAAGGCTGAGGTCTCTCGGCACTCGCGCATGCTGGAGACCATCAATCGCGTGTTTCCCATGCCATTTGAGGAGCGCCGCGGACGTGTTGGGACGGTGACCTATGGCACCTATCGTTGGCTTAGATATTTTCCCTTCTTTTTAGTTCCCTTAATTCTTGGCGGGGCTATTCTGGAGACGCGCGATAACCCCAAAGAGCACGTCTTCACGGCTCTGCATCTCTGGCTGGCTGATCACGGCGTGTTTCGGCATGATACAGTCAAGGCATTGAATCCAGCATACGAAGACGAGCGACGAGAGATAGAGTGGAAGACCAATGATCGAAAATGGCGGTTTACAGGAACTGATACACCATCTGAGCGAGAGCTACGGGAATTTGCTGCAATCAACATGGAGCGACAACGTCGCAGCCAGCTGTAGTCGAATCTGTATGCAAAAATTGAGGGGAGGAAGTTGTCTTTGCTCAAGCAAGTGGGATTTTCCCCCCTTTTGATGATGTTAAAGAGACAGTTCTTTGTCCTTAAATTTTTGTATAGCAATTGGTGTTATTGTCGATATTTTTTTTGTGTTGCTACAATTATTTATTCAATTTTTTCTGTTCATGACTCCGGCCTTTAAGATGTAAGGAAAATTTTTGTTGCAGAGGTAGCTTACACTGGCTTTAGAATTACTGTAAATCTGATAATAATTTTACAATAGTCCTACTCTTTCCCCTACACTTTTTCTGATCACTATTTATTTATTTGATCTTACTGGATTAGAAAGTCCA